TGGCCTTTCACAGTTCCACAAATACGCAGAAATTGACAGGGATTTCTCAAAATGTATTTTTGCTGTTGCAAGTACTGTCAACCTTTGCTGATACCTTTTGCCTGGGTTGTGAAGGAAGTGTTGGGCACTAAAATAGAAAATATTTATTTAAAGAAGTCAAATGTTCTAATTTTTCCTCTCTTGTGGTGGCTGTAAATTAATGGCAGTTCAGCGCTCTGCTGAAATAAGTGGAGTGGGATGGTGGGAGGGCTGTTTTTAGACAAATATAAATATATACCACTTTAATTGTGTATATTTAATATACACCCACTCGTTTGCTTTTTAATGTGAACAAGGCTTCAGCAGGCTCCAAAGAGCATTGATGCCCACTCTCACTCTGCCCTGGAGCAGCCCCAGCCAGGGACCTCCAGCTTGTCCACAGGCAGGTTTTTTAGCAACTACAAGATACTGCTCAAGGAGTCAAACAGCTCTTCCTGTGTCTGTGACTGTAGCCTGGAAAAAGGGCTCCACACCTGCAAAGGTGGCAAATCAGCAAAGGAAATATAGGAGCCCCCTGGTCTGCTCATTTCCCACAAGATATTACTGGGTGGTAAAAACCTCCCCAGCACAGCAACAACTGGCACATGCTGTAATGGAAAGTGGTCAGGCCTTGGGTTCTTCCCCACATCTGTGGTTGTTTGTTTTTGGAAGGGGAAGAAGGGCTGCCCTGTTTTGAAGGTTTTTCAGAATCCTCTGCAGTGGCCTCATCCTGCTGCCACTGATATCTGATTGGGAAGTGTCTGACTGATGCTGATGATCTCTGGAAGTCAGCTCCAAATACCCAAGTGCTGTGTTGGAAAGGAGGCAGGACACCCCAGCAATGCTGCTGAGGGACTCTCCAGAGATATTAGGCCACAGAGCTCTGCTTCTTTATCTTACTTCACATCGATACACAGATTTACCTTGACTGGTTTTTTTTGTGATTTACTGTCAGGGAAATAGAATAGTACTTCTTTCCTTCACCTTTGTATTGGAGTGTAATCACCATCCATAGCCATGTGCAGAGAGCTGCATCCTGGAGCTGTAATTGCACTGGGGACACACCATAATGCAGAATAATAACTTGATGCTAATGAGCTCCATGAATTCAGTCAGGATCAGACCTGCCATCTCCCTTCCCAATGCAATTACTGCTGGCCTGCTCATGCTGCTTTTCCAAGTGTATGCTGAGGTTTGCAATCAACTGGAGCAAGTCTCAGTTCTGATTTGTTTTTTGAGTTATCCAACAAAGAAAGGCAAAGCCAGGACAGCAAAGCAGACATGAATCTGCAGGGTTCTCTTTAATTTTCAGTTTATCTGCAATTTGAGGGAGCAAACACAGCCATGCTGAAGATGCATAAATACAGCTTGGAGTGCCATTGAAATCTAGGTCAAGGTTGCAGCTCTGCCTGGGAGTTTCACTACCTGACTTGGGGAGACTCTGCTGCTCCAGGAGCCAGCTGGAGGACACTTCTGAGCCAGCACAATGAAAGCAGGTAGGCTTCTGCATAATCAACTCCACTGGAGAGTGAAAACAGGCCATGTAGGCCATCGCTGAGCTGGAATTGCTGCATTATTACTGAATCTCACTGGTCAGTCCTGGCAAAGGTCTTTGGCTCTCCAGTGGCTTCAGTCTTCAACTCTGCTGCAAGGAGCACTTCCAGCATTTCCCAGCAGTAACCAAATTGCCTTCCAGGTGCTTGGAGGGAGGGATAGAGCTGTCAGTGTGACAGTTGTTAACAAAATACATAATTTGGACGGGGAAAAAAAAGGACTTGCATTGATACACATTAATTTGCTTTGCAATCCAAGTATATGACTGCTGCAGAACATGACTCTGTTCCATATTTGAGACCCAGTCTGTGTTTGTGTTTTAAGTTAGCCTTCCAAGCAAAACATGTGAAAGGAGAACATTTAAACAGGAAGGGTTCATGGGGTTTTTTTCCCTCATAAATTTTTGTAGGTCTTGTTGCTGCTAATTACTGGAGATCTCAGCACAAGAGCTTTTCTTTCTAGCAAACCTACTTCTCATGTTTCCTGCCCTTCAGTTAATCAGTTTTAATCTCCTCTCTGTTTGTTTATTTAACTTCACAAAGCTAATTGACTGTTTGTGGCATGAGTCTGCCAGGGACTGGGAAAGCAGGGTCAGCCTGCGTGCACCGCAGCGCGGACAGCGGGTGGCTCTGGCAGTGCCACCACTTCCACCACAGCCCCTGGGTGTTCCAGGGGCAGGGTCTGGCTCTGTCCCACTGCTCCTGTCCCTGTGCCTCCCAGGGAGGCTGTTTTCCCCGAGGAGGGTGCCTGGTGGGGCTGGCAGCAGCCCAGCACCGTGCGGGTTGGGTGGCTCGCAGCCGCGCCCAGGCAAGGCAGAATCCCACCTGGAGAGGGTGGGCTAGCACCAGGGAAGGCAGGGATGTGGATGGGAGCCACTGCAAGCCTGATCCTCTGCTTCCTCTGCTGGGGCTAGAAAAGCAGATTAGAAAATAAAACATCGAGGATCTCATAGAAACCTTTGTGTTAACTGAAGGAAGATGCTTGTGGTGAGAGCGGTGGGCTTGTGTCCTCTCTAACTCTGCTGTCCCTGTCCCCTCCCTGGCCCTTCGGAAAAGCCAGGCACCCACTGCTGGCTGGGAACAGGTAGAAGAGGAGAGCAGCTGTGAGAAGCTCCTTCCTCCCTGTGCCCTGCAGTCAGACTCCAAGATGCAAACCAGCTCTCCTGGGTGTCAGGAATTCTGTGCAGTGAGTGTTGTTCTCCTCACCCACCCACTCCTGTGCTTCCCACCCAGTACCTGGCGTGTGCCCCCCACAGCAGCTGCCTCCACACACAGCCTGTCTGGGGGGCTTGGTGTTCCCAGTGCTCTGTTGGATCCTCTGAGCAGCATTAGGAGATGGCTCTTCTCAAAATCCATGTTTAGTTGATGGTGAGGTTCTTTTGACCATGTGGTTTTTGCCTTCACCACGCAAGAGTAACTAAGCAGTGTTGATCTGAATGAGTTTTTTATTTTCATCTGTTAAAAGGGTTTCCTAAATCCCATCAGACTCTGGTCCCCTTACATATTTCTGTGATGTCACATGGCTACAGGCTCAAAGGATATGCCAGTGGAGAAATCTTCCTGCCTAAGGGGAAATCCTGAAAGGATGGGTCTGCTATAAGACACTCACCAATGCACATTATCTGCAAAGGACACTTGGTTTTTTGGCACCTGTGATGCTGGGATTGTGCTTCAGCATGGGAGGAACAGTCTGTAGTGCAAGGATCCTTCAGAAGGTCCCACATGAGTTCCTGGTATGACAAAACTACCCTTTAACCTCAAGCCATGAGGTAGGTGGCACTCTGTTTCTAAAATGACTTGAGGCATTATGCACAGTCCTATAAAATTGCAAAATGGGGCTGCTGTGTTACCTCCTGTAGCTCAAGAGGTTTGGAGCAATTGGTTCGTCATTTTCTACCAAAAAAGCACTTCCCTGAAGCTGTGGCTGCCACATCTTCTTTTGCAGCAGGCTCTTTATTTTTGTGCTTATAACATTGCAGTTTATTTCCGTGGCAACGACTCTAATGTGATCATTTGCATCCATAATAACTTCGCTGTTACTAGAAAAGGTAAAACTGTGACGATCTTGAAAAAGTGATCTGAGTCCAACTGAAATTGCAAACTATAACAAAAAAGCTAAAAATTAAGTTGATTTCTAGGGCATTAAATCATGGCCTATTGAGCTGAGCTCATGTTTTTTCCTGTCTCAGTGCCGTGGTGAGGGGTGAGCCTGCGTAAGCCGGCTGGAGAGCGGAGACTGCAACCAGGGAACACACAAACACTCTCATTTGTGTTTTACTTAAGCTTTGACAACGTTGGTCTCTGGTTTCCCTTCCTCGAGGACTGCAATCACTCATGTACTGTTTTCCCTCACTCTGCTAAGTGATGCACAAATTGTTTCTGCATTCCAGGTTAGTTTGTGACATGCCTCTCTTGTGTTTGCACGTGGATGATGAAGATCTGCCCTGCTCATCAGGAAATGAGTAGGCTGCCTGCCTCTAGCCTCAGAGGAGCTGCATCCAGGCTGGTGGAATGGCTCAGCACCAGCCCTGAGCCAGGGTTTGCCCCAGCACTGCCAGTTGTTCAGTGATTTTGCACGTTTTATCTTTCACCTGTGTCCACAATCTCAGTGCTGTCCTCCACTGAGGAGCTTAGGATGAAACATGGACTTTCCTGGGATAAGCACATTGACAAACTAAGGCCAAAATGCATTTCTCTTGGTTCAGATCCAAACCAGCCACAGGGTGTCTTTCCTAGTTCTGTCTTCTGTGGTTTTGCTTGCTTTAAATTTGTTTAGAACACAGCATTTTTAAAGAAAAATTCTTGCACGTGCACATAAACATGCTCATGTTTAAATAAAAGAGAATCCTGCTTGTGTGATGAGACACACTAACTGTCTTGATTCAAACAATCCTCTGTTTTGATAAGTTGATTCAATCTATTTTAGCTAAATACTTAGCAGAAGTCAGGCTACTATTCATATAAAGAGAGCTAAGAAATATACTCTCCATATGCTTTGAGCAACCTGGTCTAGTAAAAAGTGTAAAAACCCAGGGGCACTGGAACTTAGATGGTCTTTAGGGTCCCTTCCAACCCAGGCCACTGGGTTGGAAGGGACCTGAAAAGCTTTCCTCCATAAATTAAAGTAAGAAAGCTGACATTGTTGAAACAGAACAGGTTATCAGTTTGGCTGGTGTAGAAATGCTAAATAATACAGTTTTCCATTAGTTACTGGCTGCATAACCATGTTGAGAAGTTAAAGTTCTCTGAGAAAGGTAAGGTCCATGTGAGCTGCTTGAGCCCACACATGGTCATGAGCACTTTATCCTTGCTTGAAGCAGCTCAGTGAGCAAGTACCTTTTTTCTTTGTTGTGTGTGATGTGGGTTGAGATAGAATTACAAAACTAATCCTCCTTACCTGCTGCCTCATCTCATTTTCATAGGCCAAGAAGAACAAAAATCCCACATCCAATAATGCAAATGTGGGCTTGCCTCAGCCCTGTGTTCCCCTGCCAAAGAGGGATGAGAGGGCTCTTTCCACCCCTGAATGCTCCTAGGCCACCCATGACCTGCACTGCAGCTGGCCTGGGTCTGCCTCTTCTCCCTGTGTGTTGCTCCTGCCCGTGGTGCTCACCTACAGCAGAATATGGATTTGGCAGGTAAAGCTTTTGCTATGTATAGATGATCTACAGTCTGATAATTAGTGCACGGTCTTAATTAGAATGCAGTTCTGAAGAACTGTCTCTCTTTTAAATGTCCTGCTTTTCCTGTTGTATGATACTGCAGTTTCTTAACAGCTGTTGGAGTCACCACATGATATGTGCTCCTTGTTGCTGTGTTTATTTTTTTGCTTCACATTCAGAGTATTATCAGTATTGATTCTCAAGACAGTTGCTTTGTTGTTTCTAGAGAGACATGCAGATTGAGCCGCTTTCCATTTAATATTAACTGAAACTCACTGGAACATTATCACCTGCATGGCAACCAGAAGCCCATCCATGCCTAACATCAATAGTCCAAAGTGAGAGAGCGTGCTTTTGACAGGGGAAATACACACTGTGAAAATCCTTATCAGGTCTGAATGAGAGCTGGGTGGGAAAAGGCACCCTCTCCCTAACATCAGGTGCAGGTCACGTCCATTTTCAGCTGTGAGTAATGGACAGCAGTGATTCACTCCACAGCCAGTCTCATAAAGTCCACTCCTCATTCCCAGAGACAAATGGGAGGGATATTTTTACAGACAAGTGTTATTGTTGGTAAGCCCTTTCTAGGTCAGCCTAAACCAACACACGTAACCCCTCCTGGCTGACTCCCAGCTTCATGCAAGCTGGCAGCTCCACTGGGGTGCTGGTTTGGAGGGGACACACTGGACAAGCCACACTGACAGAACTGGGGACTGGCTACAAAACTGCACCTGAGTACCAAAATTCAGGAGTGCTGAACTCTACTCCTTGAGGGAAAAAGAAGAGTGACAAATGTCTGTCAGGGAAGAGGAAGCCTGGTCATCTGGTGCTCTTTTGCTGAGAGATGATCCCAGTGCAAGCTCCCTGTTTGGGGTTTTGCTCCCCCTCAATGTAATGGTGCTCTTCTGCTTACAAGAAATCAGCACTGTGTAATTTCACTGTGTCTTAATTATTCCTTTTCTGGTTTTCTACATATATGGCTGCTTTACTGCTTTAATGCAGTATTTTCCATTAAGCAGTTCTATGCAGTACAACAAAAATAAACACACAGCAACGTGCGTAAGATTAAACCATTAAACTCACTCAAAGTACACAGTTCATAAATTAAAAGTGCTTATGCTTATACTTTATTATTGATTGCTGAGTTGATACAAGAAGAAGAAATTGCCCTTAGGAAACAAAACTCATGGTTCCTTAAGCTTTTCTTTGTCAGGAAGCCAAAAAGACAACATTAAATGGAAATGTCACCATTTGTTCTTGTCAAATGTAGTTTATTCAATTAGATCTTTTATAACTCTTACTGAGTTATACAAAGGAGGTTAATATTTTTTATTGTTTTTCTTCTTGCTGTGCCTCTAATACACACAGAGATAAGTTTGCCTAGTAAAATATACAGCGTAATTTGGTAATGTGTTTATTGGATTCCAGTAAAAGACTGGAAAGAAATTATCCAAGATTTTTGCTTCTTCAACTGAAATTTTCTTTCTTCTCTCTCTTTATTTTTTTTTTCTTTTTGTTTGTTTTTCATTGCTTGTGAAGGTGGGTAATAATCTTGCAAGTTTTTGTTTCCTGAAAATGCTTCAAAAAAGAAATTCCTAGAAGCAGATTTGGGATTTTCCCCTGAGTTAAGAAAGAAGGAAAACATTGTTGGGGTTTTTTTTCCCTGACTTAAGAAAGACTTCCTGAAGAACAAGGTATTTAGATACACTCATGGTTTCAAAAATTTAACTGTAGTTGTGAAACATATCTGACATCTTGCAGAATGATAAGAGGAGCCTGAGTTTACAGTAACTTACTATTCAAAACTGTCTTCAGTTCAGGGTTCAGATCAGTTCTGGGTTTGTGGATATGGTTTAAACCAGCGAAAACCTATTCCTTTTTCCTTGTGTGGTTGGTTTTCTGCCCGATTGGCAGCTGGAGCTCCACTCAGTTCCAGAGGTCAGAAAAATATCACCACTGATGTGAGGAAGAGAGGCAGGAGCATGCAGCCAGTGCCAGGGCAAGGAGAGCACCAGAGACGTCGATTTTAGGTTCACTTGCCCAGTGACAGAATTGCAGCCAAAGCAGCTGGGTAAAGCTCTGGGCACTCTCACCAGTTCTGCTGAGCTGGGACTCATGTGCTACCATGCCTGGCCACAGATGTGAAGAAAAGGAGAAGCAAGGCTGCTCAGCAGACCTGGGGCTGAGAATCACAAGTGTAGCCCATGGCTGCTTCTTAAAAGTACCTGCAAGCACCTTCACTATTGAATCTACAGGAGATGAGTGAATTTCTTGAAAGAACCAACACCCTTCCTGGAAAAATTGCAACAGTTCAGAAAAGGTGAAAGTTGAGCACTGCCACCCTCTCCCTCTTGTGTAATTTGATTAGCTCATCCTCTGAGACAGCAGGAGCTGCCATCCCCACCATTCCAGGTTTAGGGCTTTTTCTAAGTCTTGTGTTCTACTGGGAACTGCCATCATGTTTAACTCAATTGAGGACATGAAACCAACTGCAGTTTGGCAAGCCACACAGGCTGGAGCTAATTTTTGTTCTCTGTTAATTCACCTGCCTGTGGCTTTTTGTGCTGCCCAGGATATAATCAGCTTGCTCTGGAGATGCTAAGCATGTTTGTCTGGAGCTGGGCTGATGCTGACTGATGGGCAATGTCATCAGCAATGTCATCTGGGCTGTCACAGCAGGCACAGCTGCTGGGCTGTGACGTGGGCAGAGCCCAGGGCCAAGGCTTCCCGTGGTTTCTGCATCCCTGAGTCTGAGAGGAGCACTGGAGGGGTCTTCACAGGTAAGGAACCAGTGGGGCTGATGTGCAGAAACCCTCCCATCAGCTCCCAGGGCAAACAAGGGAGCAAAGTGCTGGAAATGAAGGTGTGCTGTGGCACTTGCTTTGTGGAGCAGCCTCTGGGAGGGACGCTGCAAACTGTGATGAGTAAGAGTGGCCTGGAAGCTAAATCCCATCTAACTAAGGGTGTCAATTCATGAAACTGCTTAATCCCATTTAAGTGCAAGCTGCTTCCAACAGAGGTGGCCTCCTCACACCCCACATGAGCACTCCCACCCTCTCCCTTCTCTTGCCCCTGGGTGTCCCTGAGCTGTGAGGCTGACTCAGACCATGCTGTTCACCCAGTACAAAGCAGATGACGTTCACTGTAGGCTCAGTTTGTGTCAGGCCATAACTATGCATACAGGAATCTGACCCAGGAGGCTCCATCTCCTAGGGCTGAAGGAGAAATGTGCTCTATTTGGTAGCCTTCACTTAGACTGGATTGCCTACAAAGAAACCGGACTGCACAGAAGTGAATAATGCTCAGGCTGGACTGGATCCAGCAGCTCAGGAGACTAAAAATCAGAAAACCACTGAAAGTTTCTCTTCGTTACTTCATGTAGGAAGCACACAAAACCTGGAGCCTTGCACCAAGTTCCAGTAAGCATGACTGCAAACGAGGAGCCTTCTTTTGGAAATATCACTTGGAAGAAACCAGCCAGCCAAGGATGGTTTGATGGGTTTGCTGATACATTCATACAAGTGAACAGCTGGGAGGCCAGGAAGGAGCTCTGGTTTCCAGATAAATGTCCTTTCCCACATTCACTTCATTACTGAGCACAGCTCACTTCCATTTCCTTTCCTGTTCTTTGCTCCTGTTTCAGGACAGGGATCAGAAGGGCTGGAGAGGGGCTCAGTGCTCGCACAGCGCTGTGAGGGAACACAACCCAAAATAAAAACTCTTTCATCACTGCTCTTCTTATGCCTTCATTTTAAACACAGCTTTTCCATTTCAGATGCGAACACATCCCAGGTTTATCACCTCTGGTTTCTGGAAAGGGGCATTTGTTTTGGGAAACAAGTGGAAGAGCAGCATTCTGCCAGGGTAAGTTCCCAGTTTCCAGCAATCTGTTGCACAGGTCCTGGCTGCCAGAGCACAAGATTGCTTCTCTGTGCTGAGAAGCCTGTGGTGATTGCTTCTTCCAGGCTTGTCTCATGAGTGTGCCTGCAGAGTGGTCACAAAAGGTGTTACAAAACTTCTGGGAGCAGCAGCAGACCAGGGAAATTTTGAGAAGACATAGATGGGAACTGAAAGTGAGAGACAGAACAATTTAAACTTCTTGGTTTAAATTGTGATGCAAAAACCAAAACAAAACCAAAAAACCCCAAACCAACCAAAAAACCCTGCAAAACCTCAGAGAGCTCAGGACATAAAAGTAAGGATAAAAGCCAAAAAAACCATGGGAGTTCTTCTTGCAGTTTCTCCTCCCCTGTCCTGCTCTCCCTGAGCTCGGTGTGGGCGTGCTGCTGCTCTGCACTCTCCCTGCAGAGAGTCCCACACGCTCTCCTGGCGTGCTGCTGCAGGGGATGGCTCTGGCACACAGCTAGAGACTGCCCAGCTGGGCATTGCCACAAGTGCCCTGCCTGCCAGCCCAGCAGCAGGCAGCCAAGCCAAGGAGCACGGCCTGTGTGTGGCATCAGAGGGGCTTCCCCAGGCCGGGGTGTTGTGGTGACAGTCAGATGATAAAGAGAGCTTTGGGGCTCTCTCAGTGCCCAGATAACACAGCTCCCCACGACAGCCTGTGGGGTCTGTGAGAGCTCCCCTCTGCAGCTCAGGATGTGCACCTGGCCCTGCCCCTGCCCACTGTGGCACAGCTCCATCCCAGGCTGCAACTGAGGCAATTCCCAGGGGCACAGGGAGGGCAACAAGTCACTGGCACAGAGCACAACTCCTGGCACACCTGGAGAGAGCTGAACAGGTACTGAGCAGTGCTGGACTCCAGACTGCACACTTAACAGTAAAAGCCATTATCACACCAAGTAAATACATTAAAAAACTTTACTTCAGGTGACTTTATCTAGTAATGTACCATTGTTGAAGTCTTTAGTGAGTACCCTCTCTGGAAAACACTGATCCCTTTTTTATTATTTTTTATTATGTACTATTCCAGAAATGTCATCCTATTTCCCACTGTCACACAAAGTGCCCGAGGCTGTGATTGAAAAATCTTGTGAAAAGACTCATATTCTGTTTCTAATCAGGTATGTTTCTGTCTTTAGAGTACCTGCTAGTTTCTTTTTGCCTGCATGACATTTCTATTTTGATCTAAGCTCTTCTTTCCCTCCCCCTGTTGCAGTGCCTCTGTCTCCATGGCCCATTTCTCCTTCACAAGTTGTTAATGTGAAAAAATTACACTGCCCCATACCTGGGCAGGTCAGCTTCAAGCACTCCTGAATCACAGCTTCAGCCCATGTTTACGGTGGCTAACAATGAAAAGTGTTTTTACGCTGAGGATAATGGTGTATTTGCACTGTAAGATAAACCTTAGATGTAAAAATCATGATTTATTTAATAGGCACATCAAAGAATACCACGGGAGAAGGGAATTTCAAAGTTTCCCAGAATAATTAGATTTCTGCTATTATGTGAGGTATTTTTTTTCTCCTGACTCAATAATAATGAGTAATAGAAGTGTAGTTCTCAGAAATCATTCAAAGCATTACTAGACTGAGAAGAAAAAAAAAAGAGGAATAGTTTCCTTAGGAGCTAGAAATCTAGTAAGCGACAGGACTGCACAGCTAATGAGAGAAAGAAAGGTCTGACTTGGAGCAGACTGCAGCACTTCCGAAACCTGAGACAGATTTTCTCCTAGGAAGGAGGAGAAGTACCATTGGGAAAGCTCCTTGCTTAATTTCCTATGGTCCTTTCCTTAATTAAATGCATATTTAAATAAGCAGGAGCTCAGTAGTGGCAGTATCCTATAGCATCATTGTGCATTGTGCTCCACGGTACAGAAGCACCACTGAGGGCAGCCCTGGCCCCAGCACTGCACATTCGAGGTAGGGAGTGCCACAGAAAAGACATCCTTTGTGGATCTCCCCTTACAGATTTGTCAGAAGGCCTTTCTAAAGCCTCTGATGACTGACTGTGAAACAAGGCCCCAGTTGATTAAGAAAGCGACTGGCTTGGCGGAAGAATGAGCTCCTCAGTTTAAATTCAGCCTGGTTTCCGTTTTCTGCCTCCTTTCCGTGGCTCGCAGTTTTTTAACCCTTTGCTCTGCCTGGCTGAGCCCTGGCAGGATGTGGGTGCCCATGGCTGTCCTGGCAGGCAGCACCTCGGGCTGGGCTGAGGCCGTGCCCCCGAGCCCCAGGCTGGCAGGCAGGGCTCGTGGGACAGCTGGGTCCCCAGGAGCACAAAGCAGGAACCAAGGCAAGAGGGCATCCAGCAGCGAAGGAAGGCTCACACAAGAGCCTTTTTTCCATTTTTCTCATAGCACTTTCAAGTACTATCAAATACAAAGGTATATTTTCCTTTGTCCTAAATACTGTATTAAAAAAAAAAAATCTGTTTCAAGTGGCCCAAAGTATATGGCTGAAAGCTTTTCAGAGATAAAAATCTGCAGGTGTGTTCCAGCCCTAGACAGTGATGGATCTGCTGCAGGGAGTCCTTCCAACAAAGAAAGGGGCTCCTTCTTGTGGGATGTGCAACACAGCAGGAATGAAAAGCTCGAAAGAATATTTATCTATGTACAGGTGACAAAGATAGTGTCAGCTTAATTTTAAAATCAATACAGGCATTGTAATTATTTCTAATAGCAGGAAGCAAGACTCTTATGTCCCTTGTCATTAGGGCTGGTGAAGTCAGGACAGGGAACATAAGTGAGAGATTACTTCAGGACAGGAGAGAAAAGCCAGTTTAGAGTATAGATCCCACCAGATGGATTTTTAATGTGTCAGAAGGAGTAAAAAGGAGGCTTATCCCCAATACAGTACAGGACTTTTGAGAGAATAATACTAACAATAGCATATGCAACTGTCATAAGGAAATTTTTTTCTGGACCAGCTCCAAGAAATAAGGTCTGGACCAAAAAAAAAAAATCCCTCCAATAACATGTGTGATAAATATAATACCTTCTTGAAACTAGAAAGAGAAGTAGAAAGGCTGGAAAGAGCACTATTGTGCATGACTTTTGTGGTATTTTTGTGGAAAACTGACTAACAAGCACATGATGTGCAGCTTGGGAGAGTGGGGGGAAAGTGCTGGGACAGAAACCTGAGTTTCCTGAGAAATTATTCTGACTGACATTAAAACAAACTCAGTTCACACATTTTTAGGATAAAAACTCCACTGCCAGATTTCTAATGAAGAGGTAGCCATGATCAAGCACAAGAAGCAGAGGCATGGCAAAGGTTTTTAAAACTGGCAACATACTGAAGAAAGTCTATATGGAATATATTGGCTCCAACAGCAATATTGAAACAGCTGTTGAATTTCAGGCTGAAAAAGCATAAAATATTGAGAACTGGTAACACAAGCTTGAATTCTGAAATATTTGTGTGACAAGCAGAAGAGAAACTCATTAGGCAGCTGAAAATGTCACAGACTAATTGTTTCATTTTGTTAGCTACCCTCTGTTTCCATGCATATCAAAAACCACTCATAAAGATGGGGAATATTCAACTTTTTAGGAGCAGTAGTAGACTCTGTGACATCTGAGCATCTCCATGCTCCAAGTTCTTGCTGTCTGGCACCACAGTAAAGAAATGTCACTATTCCCATTTTACAGACAGCGGGGTAGATGGAAGCAAATGAAATGATTTCCTAAAGGTTGCACCTTGTTCACAGGTCAAGGACTGAACCCAAGTCCCCAAAGAACTAGCTAAATCTTTGGCCACTGGAGGTGTGGGGTTTTTTCCGAGTTGTGAAATGGGTCATTGTTAATAATCCAGAATTGTTACTCTTTTCTCCTTTGACAGATTTAAGGGTTTTCAGTGCCACCTCCTCGTTCTCTCATATTTTATATAGAGCATGCTCTGCATATTTGGTTGAAAGCCAAGCGTGCCTCAGTTCCCCATCTGCTCTTTTTATGTTGCAACTTCTCTCCCATCCCACCTCTGCATTGTCTCTTATAAGTGTATCTCTAATCTCAAGCAGTGCTCAGCAAACCCAGATACCAGTGTCACAAGGTGTGGCTGCAGCAGCAGTGCCCTCATGGTGTCCACAGTGCATCTGTGGGAAACTTGAGCAGCCCTAAAACACATCACTGGGTGTTTGAGATTATTTTCAAGAACCTTCACTAAGCATCCACCAGGAATAGGGAGACAGCTGTTAACACTCCAGAAATACCAAGTGAAGGTTTGAATGCCAATCCAGAAAAGGAGTTGAAAATATAGTAGATGATTTATCAAGGGCATATTGGAGAAGTGTGAATAGAGATGGTGCTGTCATGATGTATCTTAAAGTGCCTGATATTCAAATGACTGCTTAGAGATTTCCAGTCAGACATGGCAGAATCCATGATAATTGCCAGTGTTAAGGGAGTCTCTGTTAAATGGGCACCAAAAGGAAAATGTGAAGAGCTGGAAGACAAGGAGATTTGTTGAGGACAAAGGAATTTGGTTGATTTGGTTTGCTTTGTGAAATTTTTTGTTTGGTATTGGGGTTTTTGTTTGCTTTTTTTTTTAGTTTTGATTTTTAAAATATTTCAATGGAAGTTGTTATAAAGAATAAGAAGAAAATGGCATTTAGCATTATCCCACTTGCTAGCAGTGGCAGTTCTCCCACTCTACATCCAGAAAGGATGGAGAGAGGACTGGGGTCTGGGCATGGAGCAGTGAGTGTGGTGGGGACTGAAGCAAGAGTATCTGCTGCTTTTATTTCCCCTGTTTAGGAAAGATGGATGCAGGATCAAAGGAGCTGCTGGCACTGCTTGAGTGATCCATAAGCTCAGTTTTGTCTTCGTTGTTTGGAGTTGGCTTTTAGCTTCTGCTGTTCTAGTATTGCACTCTTTTGACAGGAACTTAATAAAAGCAGGAGTCAGCTGCTCTGAGGGACCCATGTGTCCCACCTGGGAGCACAGTCCAAGTCCCTCTGGTAAGTAGCTGGCCATGTGTGGGCACAGATGCCACTTTTGTGCACACAGTTGCCATGCCAATGCCAAGAGATGTGGTGTGTGCAAACAGGAAACTCAAAATTCGAGTCTTGAAGGTCATTACCATGAGATGTAATGTACCTTGAATCTCTTTAATAACAGTGTCTTAGAACAAGATGATCACAAAAAAAAGAGACCAGCAAGGTTCCATGCATCTTGAATACAGTGTATAGATCCTGGGCTCTGACTCTGATGTTGGGTAATTACTTATTTCTATGCAAACTGGACTCCAAATGCTGCTGAACTGGAATTCAGTTGTCCTGTGTTACTCTGCAAGTGTGAACAGACCTCTCCTGAAAGGTGAGGGAGATCTGTGGTGTTTGGTGGCTGCCTGACACTGGTTCTACACACATGTGAAAAGCTGGGGTCAGACTTGCTGTATTTGACTGAAACAGGCTTAAGAAAAATGTCTTTGTTTTACCTCTGAAAGGAAATAATATCCAGTAGGCAGTTCTCTGTTCTTGATGACAGTGAGCACTCAGTACAAGTGATGTAATATTAGATTGCTCAACACTTAACATGGAGAAAAAGCTTATAAAAATTGGATATGTGAAGATTTATTGAGAGAAACCATGGCAAGCTACCAGGAACTCCTCTGTGACAGAAATAGCCACCCTAGGAAAGCAAAGTCCAGAGCACCTCTGAGGACAGGGCTGTCCAGATGTGATAGTGAGAAATGGTTTCTCTAGAAGCACAGGGAATCTGAAGTGCTCTTGGAAGAATTGGATGGATGAGACATGCTGGTGCTCTGAGCTCTCTCTATTTTAGGCCCAATACCCAGACTTTCTCCTACAAGTTACTAAACCCTTGCTTTGATATGTGCCATTTATTTAACACAAATGATTGTTCAGCCTGAACAAATACCAGGCACAAGGGGCAGGCATGAAGGCACCAGGTAGGAACACTACCTTTGGTCTAGTGTATGAAACAAGTGGGAAATTCCTCAGACAAGCTGAATTTGCTTTATGCAGCTCATTGCCATCTGGATTACCTTCCTGCACCTTCCTGGTGATATGATTGCCAAAATAGCTTCCTCTGATGCCACAGGACATGAGAATGATAACGTAAGGCCAGGGCAAAATCAGGTGTCTGACTCCTGTTGCTTCACACACCATGTGCCCCTTACCCCTCCAGGCACAGTTAGAAGAACCCTCTGTGAGGGTTATCTGCAGATATTTGAGCCTGGGCAGGTGTTTGACATGGCCCTCCATGA